GCCGGCAGGGGTGACAATGGGAGGAGGCGGCGGCCGCCGGGCAGGAGCGGGGCCGCCAGGCGGGCGATGGGGCGCGCTCCTCCGCCCTCCCCGCTCCGTCCGTGCCGGCAGCTCGTCAAGGCGCCATGTTGGGCTTTTCCTGTGGGGGGAGCCTTCGGGGCGCCGCGGCGGCTCCGGTGGGCCGCCACGGCCGGTGCTTCGCTCCCGTCCTGACGAGGCTGAGCCGGGCAGGATGGCGGGAAGTTCGGCGCGCCGAGAAAGTTTCTGAGGGGAAGAGCTGTGTGGGGAGAGCGGCGCCGGCCGAGGCAGAAGCCCACCGGGACCCCCCCCCTCGGCCCTCTGCCGCTGCCCGGGGCTGCCTCCATCGGATACGGAGCCGCCGGGCGGCGAGCCGAAGCCGCCTTTCTCCCTCCGGATTCCGGCCGCCGCGGTGCCCCGGGAGGCCGAGCCGGGGGTCTGGGGGAAGAAGGGCAGGCGGCCGAGGCGGGTGGCCGGTTGGGGTCGCGGGTCGCGGGGTCTGCAACGCGGGGGCGGCTGGAAATGCGGGATTGCACGTGTTTGCGCAGAATTCATTTCGCGTCTTAAATGGGCGCGAAGGAATTAAATTGCACGAGTAAATTAACAGCGCTGGTTTCAATTGTTGTTGTTCATCCAGGCGACCATAAACTTTGGAAACAGAAGCCTTTTTATATCCTTAATTAGCCTGGCTTCCCATCTGTAGCCTGCAAGACGGGAATGCCTCCGTTTCAACTTTGTTCCTCCTTTGGCAGAGGCTCCGTGCTGCAGTTTCAGTTATTGCTTTGGTCCCCTGCCCCGTTTGCAGCTGCTTCTCTTTCTGCCCCCTTTGCGGCTCTTTCTCTGGTTTACCTTTCCCTCCGGGCGGGGGGGATTCCAGTTCTGCCCTCCCCACAATGGCTCCTGTGTGAGCATATGGGAGAAAGCTTCACCCAACCCAACTTCCTTTGCACTTTTGAAGTCTTTTTCGAAAAGTAGGAATTCAGTCTGAAATTCTGTCTATTGAAGAACAGTGGGCTTGCTGGAGTGGGGCAGGCAAAGAGTCAGGCAGACAATAACCTGGAAATTTCTGCAGCCTTTCCTCCCCACTTTTTCCCCCTCAGGGCGATTGCCATGGGCACAGAGGTGAATGGAGCTTGCACAACTGCCTTCTGTTACCTTTTATGGATAAAATGAAAGTGTCCCAGAGAAGCAGCTATGTGGAGAAACAATTCTGGTAAACTCATCTCAAGCTGTAGCAGCCTAGCTAGTTTAATCACCCCTAGAGAGCTGAACAACTGTGAGCTCAATGGGACACAAAATCATTTTGTGTGTAAATGAGCATGGGATGGCACTTATTTCACTTTTCATGGGCAAATAGATTTTACAAGCAGTGCTTTGGCAGTTAGCGTAGGGAAGCAGGGAGGGAGGGAGGGAGTGAAAGATTGCAGTGAGCCATGCCAGATGCACATATCAAGTCCCCTGCTTTGGGGCAGGATCCAGTTGTGAATCTTCCCACCTTAATGGAAAGGTGGTGTCCAGAGTTGCATATTATTTTTGGCCTGATTGGTGTGGGCAGAAACAATATACTCTGTCTTTAGCAGGTAGACACAATTTCTTCTCCAAGGTCAGATTGTCCACAAAGATTATTTGAAACTTGGTGTGTGTACCCCTCACAATTCTTAATGTTCTCCTATCTGGATTTCTTGAGTTGTTATATTAAGAATTAATTGAATGCATAATAATAGGTAATGCTTGAGTAGTATGCCATTTTAAGGACATGATATAATAAATTGCATGTCTATAATTTAAAGCATAATGTCCATCTTCTGTGACAACAGAAGGGTCAACATCCATCTTTCTTTTTAAATTTGGGTCCTAGTTTTAGAATCATATTCGTTAAGTTTTATAGACTCCCCTTGTCTTGTCTTTTCTTTTCTCCTGCTGTGAGAGACAGAATTCACAAGATGGATTTTAGGAAGTCCTACTAGGGAATAATATATTTTTCTGGCTATTTCTTGCAAGAAAAAAATAATAGTGCAGCTCAGTGCAAAATTGCTCCAAAGTAAGCCCTACTGGACAGTATGGATTTGCTTTCAAGTAAATAATTTTCTGTAAGGTTTGTGAACCTAATGCTATTTAGCATGTAAAATGCGATAATATGAAAACTTGTTTCCAAGGAAGCCTCTTTGGCATAGCTAAGATCTGCCTTCCAAATGGGTGTCAGAGAGGGTTCTCCTGCACTGTTAACCATCAAAGAGAATTATACCACCTGCTCCTGGGCTGGGTAGGGTGATGGGTCAGCAGATACATATATATTTCAAGATAAAACTCTTGAGGCCTCCTGGTTCTGAAATTTCATTCCAAAAACACAACAAAGGGGGAAAGGTTTCTTTTCATTAAAGAAATGGGGAGCTTCCAACTGACTGGACTTTTTAAGCAAAAAATATCTTTCCTTGGGCTTTGGATTTGAGTCATTCCACATGAGGTTGGTTGGGCCTGTGGCGTTTTGGATTTAAGCCTCAGGAAAGAGCAGGCACACACAAAGATGTGGCTTTAGGAAAAGACTAGGTGTCAGTCCTTGCAGAGGGGGTGCATTTGCAATTAGAATTGGACACCAGCAGACAGTGAGAGTTGGGTAGGTGTAACAGATACAGCACGTGCATTTATAAAAACCAAGTGGTTTGAGTTGCCACATGAAATATTCCTTGAAGAAAAGGAAGATCCACTCTGCCCTTCTTGAATTCAGTACTGTGTTATCAAGAGTTTCCTGTTAACTGGCTGAGGCTTTTGATCGGTTGGGATTCTGCCCAGGGCTGGTTTTCCTACTAAGAGCAAATGATGGAGATCTAGCCTGAGGTGATGCCAAGGGCAGACTCCACAGAAAGGACTTTTTGCCCACCATGTTGCTTCATTTGTCCCCAAAGTCCAAAAATGGTACTGTCCTTATTAGGGAAAGTGCTTCCAGTTGTTGCCTGTTGTATGGTGGGAATGGTGTAGCCCAGGTGAACCCCTGGGATGCTATTTCAAAGGAAATATGAAGGTTCTGAGAAAGGAGACCAGCTTAATCTCTTAAGAAAACAAAATGTTCTGTGAAATACCGCATATGAGATATTTGCCAACTCTTGGCTGAACAGAGTCATGAAATATGACAACATTAAATTGTATTCAAAACATTGCATACAATTAAACATTTCATAATTGTTTAATCTTTGGCATATTTTGCTTTAATACATGAAGGAGAGGTTAGAAGTACTAGGTCTGCTCTGTTTTTTGCAAGATTTTCTGCTGGCTACCTGTATGCCCTACATCAATGCCAATGAAAATAACGGGTAGAGTTCCCTATGTCAAATATTAAAAAGTGAACATTGACAAAGTCCCTATATTTTTGCATAGATCAGAATTCCATGACATTTGAGTAAAATGGTAATTCATGCATTTCATTTAAAAATCTACCTGTATTTGTAACTTTCACTTGGGGGGGGGGAACAGCACCTTTTGATATTGAACGTAAGAGGATTGGTGCACGTGTGTGTTTTAAAGTGAGGCCACTGGATAATTGGAAATTATACACAGAAAAGACATTGCAGGGCAGTGATAATTGATTAAACCTTTAGTTTTGCCTGCCCTTCCATTCTCTCTTCTGGGTACATTGTCCCGAACGAAGATAACAAATAGCTATCTATTTTCTTGTGTGGTTAGTTATTTAAAAAGCAACAAAAATAGTTCCAAGTTTGATGTGAATTTTACTACATGTCTAAATGAAACGCCTTAGGTACTGAGGAAGTCACTAATTTAGAGGTGTCTTGTTACTGAGACAAACTTGCAAAAACCCCCGAATCCCAATTCACAAATTGGTTATTCGTTTGTCAGGGGATATTTCACATCTAACACATAAGCCTGCGACCTTTAATTAGAATTTTGCAGTTTGTTTTATGCCCCTTGAGGCTGACACCTTGAAAAAGATTTTTTTCCCCTTGATTTCTTATTGCTAATAAGCATCTTTTTCTTTGCCGCTGGTCCTTTGAAGACTATGATGCAAATACACTTAATTATGGAGGTGGCAATAATTTGTTAGCTGAATATGTGATCAGGCAGATGCAAAAGAGATCTTATTAGATCTGTGATCACGCTGGAATCAAGGTAGCGCACAACTGCATTTAAGAGGAAATTGTTCTTTTCTGTCTGAGGTTTCTAGGAGGAAGGCAGAGCAATGTCCCGGCTCTCTCTGACACGGTCCCCAGTTTCTCCCATTGCTGCTCAAGGAATTCCTCTCCCTGCCCAGCTCACCAAATCGAACGCCCCGGTGCACATTGATGTGGGAGGTCACATGTACACCAGCAGCCTAGCAACTTTGACCAAATACCCAGATTCCAGGTAAGGTCGCCCTTGCTGAAGGGCCAATGCCTTTGCATTTTTTGTGGTGGGTTGTTACTACTATTGCATAAGAGAATTCCAAATAATTGTGTTATTTCCAGACAACTGTGATTTTTGGAGGAGGATGCTCTTGGTTCAGGGGTAGGAAATGGACTATTTAAAGGTAATTTTAATCCAGGGGGCATATGTTTTTTGTCAGCCAACTTTCAAACGATTTGTCATTCTTTAAAAACAAAAGATTCTGCTGTTCTTCCTTCCTTGTTATGTCAGTGGGATGTTCTGCTAAAGGAAGTTTGCTTTAATCTGCAGCAGTCTTCCATAGAATGGTAAAAATGTGGAGTTCTCCTATAACAAACACTCTCTTGGTGTATATATGTGTGTGTGTGTGTTTGTGTGTGTGGTATTAATAAACATACAGGAATGGCATAAGTTGTTAATTTGCTGGTGCTGTATTTCTCTTCTCGTCTTCTGAAGGATTTGAAGTAAACCCCACTTTCAGCCACCTTGCAAACACATGTCATTTTCAGTTGAAAGCATTTTCAGAGGCAGAGGCAGATGCATAAGTTGAGCAATACCTTCTAAATGTCGAACCACGATTTGTTGTTTCCTAGAGTGACTTTTATAGCATTGTAACTGGTAGAAAAAAATCAACGCCACATCCGTTTCGTCGAGAGGGGATGCTTTGGGGTTTTCTCTGCTGTTTCAGTATTGAGTTCCTTTGGAAGACTGTCTTCTTGGGAGAAGGTTGGATGCCATTTTAAGGATCTCCCCAGCACCAGGGCCATCTAGGTGGAACAGATACAATTCCAAGGAGTTCAGAATAAGTTAACATCGGTAGAAGTTATCATTCCTATTCTACCTGATTGATAATAACAGCTACTGAATGCACCCCAGGTTGCCTCTGCTGGAGAATCTCTCAGTCCTTTGGGTTGCAGCTCTTAGAAGCCAAGCCTGTGTGGCCAGAAGGTTGAGTTGCAGCCCCGGTGAATGTGGAAGGCACGAAGTTGGGGAAATCTATTGAATGCTGATTGGAGGAAGAACGTGAAACAACTGGCCTGCCCTGTTGAGCTAAGCTGTACAGCTTGCTTATTTTAAACGTTCCCAAAAGACCATTGTTTAGGAGTTCTTCCTAGGTTGCTAGGGACTTCTTCACAAGGCACAGTCTCAGCTCTTGGAAGTGTCAGGGGTTGGGTATTGTATCCGCCTTCAAGAACAGCCTTAGGGAGGCCACTGGGGCTACTTCAGGTGAGCACTCTTCGGAGTTTAGGGACAGCTATGTGTGGCACGTCCCCTGCTGGCCTAAAGAAGGCCTGGCTACTCTGAGAAACATTGCACATTGACCCACTGGTCCTTCAGATCATGGGCATATTACTTGCTCGGTCACAGCTCAGCATTAAAAAAACCCTTTCCTAGAAAAACCGCAGGACCGCAATTTTTGCAGAGCCCATATTGATGCATCATTGTTTACAAAGAGGAGAGAGCCCAGGCTGTCAAAAAGAAGGGTTACTTCTACCAATAGACAGGAATGTAAATCCTTGCAGCTTTTCAGCTTTGATCAACCTTCCCCTCTCTATTATGTTAAAGACTTTGTAGCAGAAGAGGCCTATAAAGCCTATTGGGGCAAAAGAAAAGTCAGAAGGAATCTGGCAGGAGGTTTAAATTAATACATTTTATTAAAAGGCATATGTTTTTATGAAAATGACACTCCTTCTGATTTTTTAATACTATATTAAGACACGTGGAGCTGTTTGGAATAAAGCCCTTAGAAATTTGGGTTGAACCCCTTCCAGTGGGGCAGACGAACTATAAGGCCTCAGTTGAGCCCCTGATAATAATTGTGTATGTGCTTTGGCCAAATAAAACTTTAAAACAAATAGGATATGCCGTGTACCTCTGGTGAAGTAAAAGGGCTATGTAGCTGCCCTGTTTTTTCATGCATTTAGGATGACATTTTTACCTGTTGTATAATGGAGCCAACTAAAACAAAACAGAAACCTAGCAGTGTGGTTGCACGAACCCCCCAGAATTGCAGTAGGAGAAAACCTCTTCCTGAAAACTCTCTGCTAAGGACTGAGAGCGTATAATTTGCTTAGTGGGAGAAGGAAAGACTTTTAAGTGGCAGGAGGATGAAACGGCTCCCTTGATCCCCAGAGCAATAATAGCAATATTACCAAGAACATCCAGTAACATGAGAATGCCGGACCTTTCATTCAATATCGGCACGACATTTTCTCTGGGAGACAGGCAAATAGGCAGCTAATCCTCTTCTGCAAATCTGGATGCACTCACCAGCCTCCTTCTAAGAAAGCAACTCTTGCCGTGTTCAATGGGATTATTGTCACACGTGGGCCAATTTGTAGCCGCAACCAAACGTCTGTCAGCGGGCACGTTTTCTTATTTTGCTTGGATTTCTGTGTCTGCACAGTAATTTATAAACGTCAGGCTTTCTGGTCCATTTCGGTTCCTCTTGGAGTTAAGGAGTCTCATTACCTCAAGCTTTATTTAAAGAAAGGATTGTTACAAATCAATATTTGACAATTGCATAAGCAATTAGAGTATTGGGGGGGAAACTCTATCAAGATGTGTAGGTATGTTCATGCAGGCGAGAGAGTCATTTAAATCAGTCATGATGGAAGAATCAAGAGGGCAGGCAGAGAAAGAACACAGAGGACTAGAATTCACTTGCTGGCTTCTACTTCCCTTGACCAGCCGGAGAGACCAGACCTTCAAAGCATCCCCTTTGAAGAGGAGCATCCCTCCCCGTGGTCTCATGCTCAGAAGCACTCCAGCAGGAGAAGCAGGAGACCACGGAGAAGCATGCAGGCCCAGGGAAGGGTCAGTAAGCCGCTTCCTGTTCATGGCTTCATGCCCAGTGAGTGCTGCTTTTCACATTCGTGTGTGAGGGTGAGGAGCCTCCTGCTATCCAGGGTTGTAGCCCAGGGCAACTTGGATTCCCGTTACCTGTAACACTGCAGCAGAATACGCAACAGAGGAGGGAAGGGCAGGAGCAGCCTGCTGACTTTCAGGTGTGTCCTCGCCAAATTTATTCAGTAGTCAATTTATTTTTTCAATTTGCATCTTGCATTTGTAATCCCAAGTGGCGAATGCCGCTTCCTCACAAGAGAATTTCATTTTGCTTCTAGAACTTCTGTCCACCTCTGTTGGGTGCAGAAGAGCCTCGTAAACCGCCGACTTGGCAAACACCCACCTGTGTCAAAGGACTTTTTATTAAGTTTCTCAAAATCAGGAGAAAAAACTGGTTTGGGGTGTTGCATCCCATAGCAAAGGCAAAAGGTCACTGTAGATCAGTGGTCCCCAATCTGATCTGCAGGTTGGTGGTGGGGATATTTGGGGCGCAACCTAGATCTGCTGCCTGCCGCTTGCGTGGCCTGGTTCCTAACAAGCCCCGTTAAACGGTGGGCCCCAGTCCATGGCCCCAGGATTGGAGACCCCTGCTGTAGATGATTCCTTGAGGCCAGCTGCTGAGCGAGGAGGCCTCTGACTTCCTGCTTCTCCCAGCTCCCTTGCCTGTCTCTTTGCAGGGTGGGCGGAAGGGAAGGTAACAGGGGACTCTGGTCACTGCCTGGGCAGCCCTTCCTTACAGTGAGCAGTCAGGAAAGCTAAGGCTCAAAATGAAGTAAGGCTTGCGACAAGAGTCAAAAATAACAAAAACTTCTTTCAACCTATAAAATAGAAGAAACAAAGTCAAGGAAACGACTGGTCCATTAATGGGAGAAAATGGCAAGAAGGTGACAAGCAACAGGGAGAAAGCAGAACTGCTTAACTTGGTTTTTTGCATGTCTTGGCCAACCTATCAAAAACAGTACCCGTAAAGGACAGATTAGGATTACAAGTTAAGATAGGCAAGAAAGTGGTAAAAATACACCTGTCCACCCTAGATGAGTTCAGCAGGACCCGATGGAATACACCCCAAGGTTCAGAAGGAACTGGCAAGACATGATCTCAGAACCCCTGAGTTGGAAGGGACCTTGGAGGTCTTCTAGTCTAACAGGCAGGAAACCCTATACCATTGCAGGCAATGGTCCGATCTCTTCTTAAAAACCTCCAGTGATGGGGTACCCACAACCTCTGGAGCAAGTCATTCCATTGGTTAATTGTTCTGTCAGGAAATTTTTCCCTAGTTCTAGGTTTCTTCTCTCCTTGATTAGTTTCCATCCTCTGCTTCTTGTCCCATCTTCAGGTACTTTGGAAAATAGGTTGACCCCCCTCTTCTTTATGGCAGCCCTTTAGATCCATTCATCTTTTACTACTAAAGGGAATAACCTCATAAAAGTGGCGAGTTATAAACAGTGAATTCTCAGGCTGACCTAAGAATCTTTGCTTCCTGTCTGTTTCGTTTGAAAATCACATTTCTGAATACAAGCCTTGCATTCCTTGATAGCTCTCAATTCATTGGACAACTGTTTCCATCTGAGAATGATTTAATCAGTATTTATGGCTCCAGAAGAACACCCTAATGATATTTATTATTCAAATCTGAAAGAGTTGGTACTTTTCAATTCTCTTTCATCATGTTGTTTTACTGGGAAATATGCATCTAGAACTTTCTAAATAAATTAATTTGCTACTTTGATACACTGACTTTTAATGTGTGTGTCCCTTCCTTGGCAGAAGGAATCTTCTTGTCTTTGCAGATAATTATATGTATTAAATCTGGATGATCATAATTCTCTATGCTCTTCAGTCACTAGATACAATTTTGATCTGCAAAAGTTCCCGGGACATTGTAGGAAGAACATTTACAGGCAGGAGCACAATGACTCGTGGACTTCAACTCCCAGAATTCCTGAGCCAACATGGCTCAGCTTGGAAACCTCCCTTTCCCCTCAGCATGGCTGGCTCAGCAATTCTGGGAGTTGAAGTCCACGAGTCATAAAAGAGCCAAGGTGGCCTCCCCATGCAGTAGACAAACTGACCAAAATTACGATATAAAAGACATATCACTAAAGGAAAAAAGAGCTTGATGTGCAGTTTTTGTG